CAGGCTCTTGGCACCCGTGCATACGAGGCCTCCCGCATGGATCACAGCAATGGAGCGCCTCTTGCTCTGAGTGGAGGAGCGACAACCACCGGAGGCCATGGGGAGGAAGGTTTGAGCGCAGATCACCAGCTGCTCTGCCAGATCGGAAACTGCCTACAGTTGGAAACGGTAAGTCCAGACGGTCTTTATGCGCAGCCGTTTTGCTTTGCGTCGTGCAGTAATCGTCGTCAAATCAGAGGTCAGTTTGGAATCACCAGGGGCTGGAACAGCCTGCCTCCTGTTGGGCGCGAGCAAACGTGCAAGATTATTGAGATCAGATAGCGTCAAGTGTTGGTTTGTCGAGAGCAGCAAGACGAACGTTGGCACAGCGAAAAATATTTCCCCGCCCGGTCTGGAAAAGTACGACATCTCGCACCACATGCTTTGCCTGCAGGTGATTCTGCCGGAATTATGGGATACCGCGGTGGACCTGTTCGACGCGAGTAGAGCGGGTGTCGTTTCTGACCGCAAGCGCACCCAAAGGGTGCAAGAGAAGGTGAGGGTCAAAACTCGGGCCAGGAGAAGGCCCTTCGCGTTTCAACAAATGATAACTAAATTGCTGTATTGCCCACAGATTTGAGCAGAGAGATTCAACTTCTCTCTCGTCTCTATGTCCAGGTAATGAATAAGTACCTCAAGCACAAGTACCGCGAGCTCAAGATGTATGTCAAGAATGGCTGGTGGGGCTACGCAAGGCCAGCTCCTCGATCCGGCCGACAGCATGGCAATACGCCCGAGGGTGTATTGGATCCATCTCGCAGGTTGGTCTTAGCACCTTGCATGCTAGCTTCGTTGCTGTGCACACGCTTCGTAACGGTGCAGAGCACGAGCCCCTATATGGTACCAGGGGTATCAATCTCTACGTTTTAACATGATATCGACGTTTGAACGGTATCGCGCTCTTCACCATTTAACACACCAGTGACCGAGCGAGCAGCATGCGAGATCAGCAGCGAGTCAGCACTTCCATCTCCAGACAGAGGTGAGCCATGAGGACACGTTCGATGCATGGGTTCCCCGGCGAGTGGGCTGCCTCACCTCTGCGCTAACCAGTCGACCCTACAATCGGGGTAACCGGGAGGCCAATTGGGAGTTAGGTAAAAAACCATGCAGCAGGCTTACTTCAGCGAGATGTCCTATGCCTTGCTTCATGCTCAATGCGAAAGTTCACGCTAGACGTCGACGAGCTAGTGGTCAAGGAATTTTTTTTAGCACGGTTTGTCGAGAAAACACGCGAAGTTACCAAGAAACTGTTGACTAAATAGTCATCACGTTGTTGCCGACCCAACTGCCTGAACTGCATCTGTCGCACCCACATGGCAGGACCTCGCTGCGGTTGAAGCGTGGAACGTTCACGTATGCCTCAGCGGGATCCACCGCGTCTGTGGCACGCCAGGTATGTCAAACCATGCTGCTTGAATTCTCTCAGACCCGCTGAGCATTTTCTTACACTTGGGGGGCATTTTGCAGGTGGCGGTTTGAAGTACCTCAGGCACTCGTTGAGCGTGTCAGTTTGCACCACCATAGCGAAACCTCTCTTACTACCTTTTTCACCTCATCTCGTCCAATTCTCAGGCCTCCATGCTCTCCAGCAAGAGTGAAGACAACAAGGGTGACACCTCGTCAGCGCGTGGAAGCAACACACGGCGAGGCTCTGTAGTGAACCGCAGGACGGGGCTTAAGGCTGCCCTCAAGATTTCAATGCGCACGCCGAAGCCACAGTCTCTGCCCAGCTACCTGGTGAAGGTGTTGCTGTCATTAGTCCAAGCACGACTGGAAGCCCAGGTGTGATTGTAGTCTCTGTGCGACACTCGGCATTCCAAAGATGCTTCACAACATAGCACCGAACTACGCTTACATGTTGAGAGTGCCTTGGGAAAGGCATGTGTTGTCCCTCCTGCACTCATGGCTTGAGTCAATTAGTTACCTGCCCGTTAACGTGTACGGTATATTCAGTTGTTTTGGATTAAATCCCTGCACAAAATGTGTTCACAAAGGTCGGTAGTATGTACACTCACACAATGCGTTTGAGAAACGCTATGCAAGATAGGCACCATTTATTCACAGATATTGTAGTTCTAGCTCAATACGCCAGAACGATTTTGTGCCCGCTGCCCTGGGAGACGCGTGTTTCGCACTGGATCTGCCATTTAACATCGTTCAGGTTCCCGCCACCAACTTATCTATTTGACGGCAGACAAAGTGAACGTTTGCATTTGATGCAGCTCAACAACACAAACTTTCAGAGCGCGGGTGATTGCATGACGAGCACCGCCTGCTCTATGCACATTCCAAGACACGAAGTCAGCGTGCGCTGGTTAACGACATCCAACAAAAGCCGTCACCACATCACCAACCCCACACCTGCGCGCGTTGGTTTATATGTTCTCATGGCAGTCCTATGCTCACCCCGCGCGCGCTGAAGCTTTCATTGTTCCAGGTCTGAACGTTTTTGCTGGGGTTTGGCCAAGATACAACGCGACAAACTGCCGTGCTTGTTCCTTACTTTGTTTTCAAGGTTCAGATGTCCTCAGGAATACCTGCATCAAAACTCCCAACCCCCCCCCTTTTCGGCCTGCAGGAAGCCTTGCGTGGGCTGCTGTACCGCAAGGCTGGTATGTACGATGGCAAGATGCGAAAGGACATCCTTTACGCCGATTTTGTACTCAGGGAGAGCGCTAGACAGGCGAGTGTTGCCAACGGTGACTGATGTCAAGATTTTCGAACAGTGTTCCTGTACACTGTACTGCCGGCGGGAAAAGACCGTGAAACAAACCGTGCTTCGAGTTTGTGTGTGTGTGTTCGTCCCCGGCAGTATACCTGTCGGTGTATTTGACGTAACCAGCCGGAGTGACACGTAGCTATTTTTTGTTACATGTTGTTGTATTGCCCCACCTTATCGCGACAAAGGGTTCAGCAGTCCGTTTCATTGATCAACCTTGAAGTCGAGGTGTGTACGCCCACGAAGTAATCGTTTCCACGGGCAAATTGCAAATTACAGGTGTTTTTTCCACTTGAGAATCGAACTCGCTTTACCCTGTACTCGTAGATTTTCGAGTACACCTGATATTTTGAAGAGTTATAGTACTCTGGAATTCCGGCTCTATCCCAGCGACTCGGCGGCGCCTAATTATGTTACTTGTTTTTCCCGGAACTTGCTGCAATTGCAGGTGATGGAAATCGTCTGTGACTGCGCGAACGCGCGTGTCGTCGGCGAGGGCCACCTCGGCGCGAAACCTCTCGACGGGTCAGACCCCGTAGAACAAGCCGAAAAGATTGCCCAGGTGCAGTTGAGGGAGAAATAACCACTCGAGCCAGCAAGTACCATGTGACCCCGAAAATGTGCTTCATGTATTGAATGCGACAATTTTGAAGAGTGTTGTACAAAATACGGGGCACAGTAGTAGGTACCAGATTTGTTTCACCATGTCGGGGTTCCTTCCATTGTCCGAAGCACGAGCTGTCAGTCCGAACGGTAGCACGACGGATTTACCGTTCAACACACACCGTACCAGTCTCTGCTGCACCACTTGAATCGTAGTCGCTTTTTTTTTTTTCGTTTGGCGTGAATAGAGCGTTGGCGGCCAATCCTGTATTGACGATTGTAGCTGTCGCGTTGACCTACAGGCGGAGTTTCTTCGGGATGCGTTGTACCGATTCTTGCCGAGTGCAACCCTCGACAGAGTTAACAGGGTGGTCAAGAGGCTGCAAGCTGGAAAGTTTGAGGGGACTCTGGGCAGGAGCACTGGAAATTCGTCATCCATGCCAAGGTGAATTACCCCAAGTGTATCAACTTGCGAAGCACTCGCTGTAGCCACCACCCCCCACCCCGCCCCTTGCAAAAGGAAGTATTTTGTCATTGTTGGCAAGGACCTGTGGAAGCAAGCGTAGAAACGAAACGACAAGCTTAGTTATAGATTAGAAGGAGGATCCAGTAATTGGTAGAGCATGCAAGGAACCTGAGGAAAACGAAGAGAGAAATGGACGGAAAGTCCGCGGTATGCGACTACGGCATGAAATGAAGACCTAGGATAAAGAGGAAGACGGTGGAAAGCTGTATCTACTTCATAGCTTGGTGTGTGCAAACTTAAAGGGTAGTTTTTGTGAATGTGCTTGAAGTAGAGATGCTACGATCTCTACACTGGATGGCAAAGGGTGCCCATGAGGTACCGGAAAGGAGGGGGGAAGTACTAGCGAAAAATTCATGTGGAGGATGATACGAACGGCCGTGGTTTCCCATGTCAAATAAGGGTGTGTGCGCGAACGAGCGAAGCAGGCAACACAAGAGTGCCCTCCCTCCCCCCCCTTGCCTGTGCCTTGGAACACGCAACACTTTCAGCCCTGTTTTTGCTTCCCTGACCGTTATTGAATGACCCCTCACGTATTCTCTGTCCAGTTCAAGCAAGTCCGACCCCCAGAGGAGTAGCAGTGCACGCGACGGCCTTGTCCGAGTAGGTGCACTGCGAGAAGGGCGGGACAAAGACGGGGCCGCGGCAGAGCAAACCGGAAAGAGCGCTAGCTCGGCATCCCATAGTGATAAGAAGCAGGCCTCTGTCAGCGACACTCTCGCGGCTGCGATGCCAGGGAGCTTCTTAACGGCGACTGACCTACAGGAGCTTGCTCGAGTTTACGTCGTGTGCTTGAAGTAGGGTATCTTTCAATATTCAGGCTCCAGCATATTTGATTATATGCTGTCCACCGGCATCGTATCGCTCACTTTCGGCAACACCTGAGCTTCGTCTGGGGTGCGTTGTCCTTTGACGGCACGACGTGTGCTCTTTGTATAGCCCATCATGGGGTACCGGTCTGTGCCGCGGTCGGGCCATATTGTGTCGAACGATATTGCTCGTCCTTGAACACCTAAGGCACAACGTGATTCAAAAAGCCTCACCTCGAGCGTTGGATAGAAGGTAGGATAAAGTGCCTGTTGGTGATAAAATCATTTTTTTGCATAATGATCCACTCAACTTGAATACATTTGTACAGACCTTGGTGTCCTAGTGTAGGGGGCTCCCCACGTTCCCACTATACATGAGTGGAGCGTCTCCTTGTCCTCTTGTCTCCATCGGTCGAGCTCCTGGGCAACTCAAAAAAAGACGACCTGTGACTACGGGGCAGGCACCCGTATCAGTTGCACCAGTGTACGTATTTTGCAAACTACCACCGCACGTATCCTCCCACACTATCGGTGGATATACACCCGCAAAGCAACCTACTGGTACCTATGTTCATTTTTCCATCTCGCAAGGGTAAAAAACAGGATAAAAAATACCAAATATGCAACAAATGCCGGCATGACTGTACGCAAGACCGCCTGTCGACTTCCTAACCGGTCTATGATATGCATGCCTCATTCCAACGTGTCCTCTTCGTACTCCCGATTACCCACACAACGATTGTGTGGGATAAAACATGAGCTCTCCAACCGCGGAGGGTCATTAACGCACACTGATTCGGACACGAACGACCCTCACCGTCGAATCGCATTCCTGCCCACGATTCCCGCCCGTTGCCGACTGGTGGTCGGGCCTTCGATACACAGCCTCGGACTGCCGAAACTCGATTTTGCCTTGCATGCCTACCATCGGCTTTGAGACAAGCTCCATCCATCCATAGATTACACGCCCGACTTGTCGTACAACGCACACCAAAAAATATTCCACGTCCAACTTTGTTGTCCTCTGGGGTGGCTCGCTCGGGCTCCAATCTCCAGGGTCTCGGTTGCGCCGATGCCTTCCAGTCACGAGGAATGAAGAGCGACCTTGGCGGGGTCTCTCCTAGGTACAACCACGACGAGACCCCACAAGCCGGTATCCGCGTACCACTCACCACTGCCTCCTTGCCAAACGGAAAAAAAGGACTCGGGAAATGGTAACCGGGCACGGCGTGTTGTGCTGCCACATGACACGCCTCTGCCACAACCGTGCGTGACCCTTTGTCTTGAATCCCCTTCGTTTTACAGCAGTAGTATGGGCCCAGAAAAAAGAATGTCAAAATCGGGTCGAGGCTCAGTTTCTAATTCCATCGGCGCTGTCTAGAACAGGTTGTTGCATACTACGGTACGTCTGCTGCTACGTCTGCTGCACCTTGTATACTATTGTAGAGATCCACCACGGAGGTTTGTTTCTTCGCCCATTTTTCATATTCTTCATGGCAATGGGAGCCTCTGCTTCTGAACAAAGTAATTCTAAAAACTGTGGGCCCGTGCTGTATGGCACGACTGGATTCAAGATTCCTCCCTTGCAACCCCCGTTTCATGACGGCACCAGAGTGTTTGCTCACCGTCGTGATTTTACGTGCTCGGGTCGTGACTAGACGGTTCCAGCATCCTCCGATTCGACTACGTGGCGATGCCGTCCACTCCTTTGAGGCCACGAAAGCAAGAAGTATCGGGCTCTGTCTGCAATTTCGGCTGAGCTTTTCTCAGGCTCAAACAGCGTTCGACCGACAGCAAACCCGGATGCGCCGGACTTGAAGTACGCTTGTAATTGGTCAGGTTCAACGCCTCCGCTGATCACCACCGGGATGTTCGACGTCTTGATCGACTTTACAATATCTCGACACTGATTTGGCGAGACGTTGGTAGCCGGATACACTTTCAGTATACTCCCCCCGGCTTGGACTGCCGATGCTGCCTGGGCAGGAGTCGATACTCCTGGTATGCTTACCATGCCCAGATCCCTCGTTCGCTTCACAATTGCAGGATCGCAGGAAGTGCTGCTTACAAAATTTACCGCGCAAGCAAAGGCCACGTCCACCTATTTTGGGGGGTATCGATCAAACGGGGTGTCAACGTGCGTTACATACATTGCATTCCACCTCCGAGCAAAACCTTCCGATCAAATCGTATTGCAAATGTGTACACAGAAATGTTGTCTACAGCCGAAGAAAGGCAACAATAGAGAGTATAGACCTACTATAAATAGCTGAGGTTGATATGCACAATGTTGTCTAGACTACAGTCGGGTCTCTAGGTCGCCAGCTCACATCAGTATATTCGGTGCAAAGCCCTTTTTGCACGCCGCGAAGTAGTCATAATTGCATAGTCTTATGGGTATCGTGATATCCCCCACACAATCCGTCCATGTAAACTTGACAACTCGTTGTTTCACCTCGTCCAGGGTCGTGACGGATGATGCACCAAGAAGCAAGTCTGGAAAGAAACTTCTGGGGATGGACCGGAGTATCTTGCTGAAACTCTTCGTGTCTGCGGTGACCGAGATCATATTGAATCCCTCCTCGTACAGAGCACAAACTACCTCCACCGCCCTCTCCAATTGCACATCGCGTAATACTGCCATGGAGATGGGTAGTGGTAGAGCGTCTTGTCTTGCTTTCGATGGTAGCTCAGTCTCCCTGCGTGATAAACGGGCAGCCTGGCAGCGGGAAACATGTGTCGACGGATCAATTATGAAGCTCTGAGCGCTGATGCAGAGAATAGCTGCACACGCCGCGAAGTGTACGCAAGCCATGCCACGCCACGCCTGAGAAAGAGAACAGGCCTTCCTTGTTCGCCCTGTGGGTGGCGGTGGTGTTCACGAGTGCACAACCGCTGTTTGCGTCTTGCGGTTTCCATTAACACGGCGCTTTTTCTTTTTTTTTCCCATCATTGGACTGTCGTCTGCCCCCTTGGCCCCTCCTAGCTTCCACTTCTACCAGCGAGACGACCCAACCGGGGTCACACAGAGGGGGGGGTTGGGCCCCCTCCTGCGGTTCCTGCCTGAGATATTTTTATCGCGAGAAGGGTACAGCAATCCCTTCCCTCGCGACTTATGAAGTCGATCAAGTTTACTAACAACGAGCTGTACAGCGCGTCGCTTCCAACGGAGAACAGGATTTAATCAGCGAGAAAAAACTCACTCTGTGTGGTCGGGACTCTAACCCATGACCTGGCTGGCCATGAGCAGGCTGCGACGCTACCCACTAGACCACCGGGGCGACCAGTTTTCTATGTCGGCGTTTGGTTCTAGACTAAAGAGAACCTGCGAACTGCGAACCTGATGTAGGAGGGAGGCCCCGGAGGGAGTAATACACTGGGAGTAGACACACCAACAACAGCACCGTTGCACACGTTACTTTCTAGCTTATTCTGGGCGTGTATTGACTGTATCTCACGTCTTTTTAACCTTTCAGTGCAATTAGTGCCGAATCACATTGTTGTTGTTGTTGTTGACTTCACATTAAACCGTATGCCAGTTGCTAAATGCCAAAATCTAGCAAAGACTCTCAGCCCGTGGTCACGAAAGTGCTAGAGCCATCTGAGGATCTAAAGAACACGCACACGTAGCAAGAAAAAGGTATCCAAGAGCCCGAAGAGGTACTACTACACCTATATATAATCCCTGCAGCACCGTACGCGTGCCCAAAACTGAACTACACGTCCGTCTCACCGTTCGACTACAG